ATATGTCTAGGGCACTTGATTACATTTCTGATTTGTACATACTCACACTTACCTATGAAGGAATACTTAGGAGCAAAACATGTTAAGAGAATTTTCTTTTTCTTTTTTCCTTTTTTTTTTTAAATTAAGTTTCTTGAATCCAACTGAAAATTGTGATTTCTTCTGTAGTTTCTAAAGACAGATAATTTAAAAATTTTGGGATTTTGAGATACCTCCAAATGCTTTACAATATTGATTTGAGAATTACATGGGGGGGATTGGGGAGACATGTGGGTTTGTATATAGTTAGTTATTTGTAGCTGGTGAGTGACATAATTATTTATCATATATTTGTGCAATGATTTACTTATTATGGGGGAAGCACTATGCCATGTCTCTGACTTTGAATCCCTTCCTCTTCAGGAGGATAGGGCTACTAATTAATAGTTATAAATACACATCTGTATCCACCAGTATTCTGCTCCATTGGGTTCCTTGAACTATCAAGAAAACAGGGGCATCAATGCAAACAATTTGACAGTAATTTTAATTGTCTTTCTATTAACATAGTTTGTGGCAATTAGGTTGTGACGTTTACAAAGAACATTTGAAGGATTTTAATATTTTGATTTAAAAAAGAAAGAAAAAACTGGGGCTCTAGGAGGACTATGATCTTCCATTACCTCTTAGAATTTCCAAGGGGGGGGGAAACATTTAGAAGGCTTAAAGAAACAGAGGAAGACTTTGAAAACAAAGGAAGGTAGATAGTAATACTCGTTCCCATAACAGCTATATAGATATGAATAGCTAGTGACGTTAATTGTTATAGGAAATCATGTTAAGGGAGGGGAGACACATTTGGTGTAAGAAATAATTCCACTTGGGAAGAAGGAGGAAAGTCAAGGAACAGGAGAAATGAGCTTCTCTCTGGACTTGTTCCTTTGTGGAATCATTCTTCTAAAAGCAAACGATTAAGAAACCGCAGACTCTCAAATTTATCCTTGCAAGATACTGGGTTTCCTCTAAGGAAAAGACTTCAGGACAGTGTTGCTCAGCTGCCAGTGGGAGAATGGGTGGGATGACCTCACAGGGCTTTCCATCATTAGTTTCTTGATCGTTGTGTTCATACATTTTCCTGGGTTTTGGTTTTTGGAGTTTTCAAAGAGACTTCTGAAAATGTGTGTGAGAAGAGAAGCAAATTGGAAATGGCTTAATTATTTGTGCTGGAGAAAACACACTGCTTGTTTTACTTTACGTAGTAAGAAACAGTAAATAGCCACTCACTCCTTCACTAAGCAAATATTCCATCCCTGTGGGCTATGTACTGGGAGTTGGCCTCTGAGTAAGACAGTTCAACCTCCTAACTGCTAACCAATGCTGGTAATGCCTTGTTTAAAAATACATAACAAGTAATACATACATAGTGTGCACTGACCCATGAGTGAAAACTAAGTATTTTATTAGACAGAAGAAAGAGACTTAGGATGGATAACTCCTGCTGTGTGGGAGAGTTGCCCTCATCTCTGTGTTCTCATGCTTCGAGCCTTTGTTCTATGAGCACCCAGGAGGCAGGGTGAAGATAGCAGCTTTCACTGTCCTGGAGCAACAAGCCACATATACCTACTCTAATACTGCTATAGACTAGAGCCTCAGGACCTGGAACAGAGAGCTCTTCAGGAGGAAGGGGAAGTACCTCATGATAGAAATTGTTGGGAATTGGTGATGGAAAGTGAATTAGGCAGATATCAGTACCCAATGTACCTTGGGATTTGGAGGAAAACACAGACACAAACCTAGCCAGTTGTGCTGAAGTTACCTTCCAGTCTGTCCTTTGAACAACCATGAGTACTGAACTTCAGATTTCTTTGTCCAAAAATATGAGGCCTCTAACAATTATTATTTGGCCATAGTGAGATATATTAAAAGAGTTAGAAAAGTACATAGCAAGAAGAAAAAAACCCTAAAGAAATCATGAATTATAAATTGTATGTTGTAGGAAATATAAATTAGACAGAATTGGAAACTAATAATAATAATGCTTAAAACTGATAAATCATTCATTTCTGGAATTTCTGTTTAGTATTTTTCAAGCTGGGTTTGAAATCTTGAGAATCAAAGCCTGAGATAAAGGAGACTATGTTCATCTTGTAATTTAAAATTTAAAAGGGATGTCTAGTTTCATTTCTGTTGCTATGATAAAGTACCCTGACAAAAAGTAATATAGAAGAGAAAGTGCTTGTTTTAGTTCCCAAATTCAGGTTACATTCCACCGCAGTGGGAAAGAAAAGGGGCCAGAAACTTAAAACAACCAGCTGTGTCACATCCTTAGTTAAGAGAAGAGAGAAATCAATGTGTGTATGCGGACTTGGCTACTAGGTTTACCTTTGCCACCATTGCACAGTCTGGGACCCCATCCCAGGGAATGCTGCCACCCAAGGTGGGCCACATCTTCCCAAGTCAATTAAAACAAGGAAAAGAACCCACCCCACAGACATGCCCTAAGGCCAATTTTATCAAGATGGTATCTCTTCCCGGGTGACTGGTGACTTTAGGTTGTGTCAGATTGATAATTAAAAAGTAAACATCACAGGGGATGACAACTAAGACCAGGTGTCAGAAATCTCAAGAACCAAAACACAGCTTCACATTAGGCAGGGTAAAAAAGGTAATCTTCTGCTTGTGCATGTTCAGGGTGAGTAAAGTTCGATGCATCCCCCAATGGGATGGAAACCATGCTAGATATTGGTGAAACATAGGATTACTGCTGAAATTATTTATAAATGAGAAACATACTTTGAAAGAAAGCATACTCAAAATGCTTACTGATTCTGTGGTATAGATATATGCTCTCCTATATATAGTGCCCTTGGCCACTTGGACAGGAGAATGTGTGAGGATCAATATTATAGCTATAGCTGAGACTTTCGAAGTGGAGAGGATTAATTCCAGGCAGGCCAAAGAGGTCAGTTTGTGACAGGAATTCACCAACTCCAGAAAACTGTCCCTACACCTCATGCGACAGCAATTTAAATGTAAGCCCTTACCACATTCTAAAGGACATGTGAGACAGTTTATGGTAAAGTCATGTGACTTTCATGATGTCCTTAGGAAGTGGTAAATAAAGAAATGCATTTCATTTTCATTCTATGCCTATTTCACAAACTCCAGTTGGCTGATAGACTTCCCCCCAATGGATATGAACCAGGGACTTCAAAGCCCTGCCTTGGATTGTGTTGGGAGAACCTTGTTAAGGACAGTTCACATTAGAATCAGATAAATAAAGACCTTATGGCATGCACTTAAATCAGCATTTGTCAGAGTGAGGGTCATGACTCAGGAGGTTGTGAAACCTAGGGAGTCCCAATCAGAACTTAAAGAAAACACCAGAGCTGCTGTATGCAGAGGAGTGGAAAAACCAAATGAGTGACCATGTAAAACACACACACAGACACACAGACACACAGACACACAGACACACAGACACACACACACACACACACACACACACACACACACACACACACACACCATGGTCAAGGCCAGACTTTCTGAAACGTATTTTCCCGAAAGTTCCCTGAAATGCTTGTGTGACAAAAGTGGTTCAGTGACAAGTGTCTGAAGTTGCAAACTGATACACCACCACAGAAGCAGCATGGATAATAACATCCTTTGTCATCACTTCAGATCAGGGAGTTTTAGAGTGGAAACACCTCAGAGAGAAACCAAAAAGGAGTTCCAGGAGTTGCCAGTTAGACAGCTGTTGGGACGGGAAGGTTCTAGAGCCCAGGTCTGCTTGTACTTCCCCTTTCTTTTCTTTGCGTGTATACAATGGCCACATTTTAAATTTATGCAACATTGAGGCTTATTGGCTTTTAATGGATTGGACAACCTGGTGCAAAATTCAGGTATTCCTCCCTACACCTCAAGTCAAGGGCAGCCCACCACAATGCTGCAGGCTGGAGTTGAAAAGGAGAAAGTCAATTTAGAGGTACTTCAGTCTTTGAGGGTCTAATCCTACTTCTAAGCAGTAATTAACTAATTAACATAATACAACTAGATGAGGCCACTTTCCCAAAGGTTCCTGTAAATGTCCTCCCTTTATGATTTTGACAAGACAGAGCCAACACAGCACTGAGCACAGTGCAATTGTAAACTGGAGGAGAACCGTTCCTTTTAACTCTCCAGGGATAAACAATTATGAAGGCGCATAGCAAAAAAAAAAAAAAAAAAAAATAGCTATTTTGGCAGGATCGCCTCTTCAGGACTTGACTCCACTTTCTTATTTCCAGGTGAAGTCTCGAAAATTCCTCCTCAACCTGAGCCTTATTAGTCTCTGGTCTAATCCTGGGTGAGGGAGGTTCTTCAGGACAGGGAAACCTTCTCAGCACTCCATCCCGCGCCCCCATGACCACCCTGGTCTACCCCAGCGAGGTGGGTCTGGGATCCAGCAACTCTCGGGTCACCCTCCTTTCCTCCCAGAAAGCTGCAAACCGCAGAAGTCATTAGATAACTTAATCTGGGTATAAGCAAGAGACCCCGCGGCCTGTGTACTCTAGTGATAAACGGAAACATCCGGCTGAGTCAAGAAAGGGAACGCGGTATCTTTGAAAACTAATATAAACGAATAAAGCATAAACAAGAGCTTTGCGGAGAGAGTCCCCCCGCCCCCCACGCCCATCCAAGCGTGGGAGGGGATGAGTGTCTGGAGGGGAAAATCCTCCCACGTCCTTGGGCTTCTGTCGGGAGACTTTCCCCTGCCTGGCGGGGTTGGGGAGTGGAGTGGGAGGAGGGGGGATAGGGGAAGCTGGAGGAGGTGATTTTCTCCAGCCCAGGTCTGGTCCCCCCAGATCCTCCCCCTCCCTTCGCCAGTCGGGATGGGAGGCGCGCCGGGACCCTCCCACCCCTCGTCCCATCTCGGAGACCTGGGGGATGCGGGGTCCAGGCGGAGCTTTCGCAGCCCCGGGCCGGTGCGAGTCCTGACCCTACGCCGGGGGGCGCGGGCCCCGCGTGACGTGGGCGTGCGGCGGGAGGGGCCGCCTGGGGGAGGGGGGTGGCTCGGCCGCCTTATTAGCGCCCGGCGAGTCGCGGGCAGAAAGCAGACGGCCCGGGCCGCGAGCAACCAGAGAAGGCGAGCGGCCCACTCCTCCCTCCTCCTAGGCGGCCGCCTCCTCCCCTCGTCCTCCCGCCCCCACTGCGTGTGCGGCGGGGGCTCCGGGGCTCGCGCTGCCTCTTTCTCCCGCTCGCTGGGCTCCGGTTCCACTTCCCCCGGCCGCCGCGCTCCCGGGACCCGAGCAGTCTCCGTGCTTAGCCTCGGCGGCCCACGGTGCTCCTAGAGCCTCGCAAAAACAGCCCCGGGCAGAGAGTGGGACGCCCCGGTCCCTTCCCCCGCTTGGGTCTGCTTCTGCCCGGCTCGCAGCACCTTCTGGCTCCCGCACAGTCGGCTTGGGAGGACAGGGTGAGAAGGTGAAGTGGAAAGGACCGACAGGGCACGGGGCCAGGCGCACAGCTCACATTGCCTTTTCATTGAGCAAAGAAAGCCCAAGATTACTATTTTTTAAAAGCTCTGCAACCCCCCTTCCCCTTCTCCATTTTCTTTGAGCTTTTTAAAGGAAACTTATTTTGGGGTGGTTTGCGCTGGGGTAGCTGCTTTGCCCAGTAGTTGCGAAGTGCACTCGACTCGTGATGGTGTTCCTGTCACTTTGGTTGATAGCAGCCTCTCTGGTAGAGGTTAGGACGTCAGCTGATGGACAAGTAAGTGGAAAATAATAATAAAAAACTCAAACCCAACCTTTTCCCGACAGAGTTCCTCCCCCTCCGTTCCCTTCACTCTCCCATCCTCCTCTTGCCACCCTTCTGGGGGCATCTTCTGTGTTCCGAGGCGCGTGGAGGGTCGGGCGCTGCGCGGGGTTTGGGGGGCTAATTGCACGGGAGGTTGGGACAGTCCTTCCCCTGGGAGCCCGGGCTTATCACACCGGGGGCTTCCTTAGTCCGCGGCGACCAGGAGCAGTCCAAATGTCAGACTGCAGCCAGGTCGCATCCTAGTGGGGCCATCAGGCTGTCCTCTTTTGCGAGGGCGCTCCAGGCGCTCCGGTGAAGTTAGGGTTGCGGATTCCGGAGCCCAGAAGATCTCCCTTCTCCTGACTCCCTGTTTCTGCGGGTAGCCAGGGACAAGGGGTTCCAAGAAGTCTCCAGGCAGGACCCGGAGCTACCCAGCAGACACGTGTCCCGGGAGGACCGCGGCGAGGCTGCAGTTTGACAGTTGAAGAGGGCCGGGGACGTTTCCTGCCCTCGCCTTTTCCGCGGGCAGCCTAAGCTGGAGGCGGCTGCTGCCTCTTCCCCTCCCCCCTCCACACAACTCCTCCTCTTTTTAAAGCTAAATTGAGTGCAGCTCTGGTGCCTTTCTGCCCTGCCCCCACCCGGGGGAGACTCCAGGTGAAGCTGATGCTTCAGAAGAGTCTTTGAAGGAGGCTCAGACTGGCTAGCCTTTTGTAGTAAATCAAGTCATCTCTGAACCAGTGCGAATCTCAGGGCATGGTTTCTCTGTGAGTTTTTGTAGCCTCTCTGGTCTGGTGACCTAGTATTGGAGTTTTCCGAAGAGGCCATTGAGGGTCACTGTTTATTTTACTGGCTTCACAGATACTAAAATTAAAGCCGGCCAACAAGTCCTTTTCTCAAATAGTCATTGAATTGGCTCATGCTCCTGTCGCAGGAACCTTCTAGGAACTAAGGAAGGTTCAGCCTTCAGGCAGCGATTTCCAGTCTCTCTGGCTCCTCATTAACCAGCTCCCCGAAAAGCACTGATGGTAGAATTTTTAAACGGCACAGGGCGATAAGATTAAATCCAGTAACTGTTTCTTTTTCTCTCCACCCCCATCCCCCTTCTAGGCTGGTACTGAAGAAATGGTGCAAATAGGTAAGCCTCCTTCTCAGATGTCACCCTTACCCTAGCTGAGAGCGGGGAACAAAGTAAGCTGAGCGAAAAAATTGTTCCTGAAACTTTTCTAATTAGTGGTTAAAATAATTCGTAGTCTGGAACTGTTTCTACATTTCCGTGGGAAGGTCCTATTTTCCCCAGGGTAAATTATAGTGGTGTCAATATCTTCTCTAGTAGTTCGACTTCTCAAGCGTTAATTTATTACTGATTTGGTGAGAGCCATTGGTATGCACTGGGAGGGTTTTAGCGGAGCTGGAACACAAGAGATGCATAAAGTCAGTCAGACCATCAACTTGTGTAACTTAGGGGGACAGTTGTAGGAATGCCAGAAAGAAAGGGGAGACCATCAAGAAAGAATTCACGTTTCCCCCCCCCCCCTCAGGTTTGTCTGCTTTGTCTACACTCTTGGGTGATTTCTTTTATTTCACAAAAGTTATTTCATAAAATTATCTTCAAACATATAAGATACTATTAAGGCCTTTTTTTGCAAATAAAAATAAATACTCCAGTTATACCTGATGCAGTGGGGGCTATTAATTAACTCCCATTTTACCAGTGAGGAGACTAAAGTTCAGAGTATATGATTTGTAATAGGTTACTCCAAAACCAATTGTCATTTCTTGAAGTCGTTCATAATACTATGTTTTGTGTGCTCACATTGGAAAGCCAAGCTACGCAACACCCTATAAAACACATATTAAAAATTATTATATCTGTATAGGGTGTTTGCCTGCCTATGTCTGTTTACATGTGTGCAGTGCCCAAGGAGGCCAGAAGAGGGCATCAGATCCCTTGAACTGGAGTTACAGATGGTTAGCCACCATCTGGGTACTGTGAATTGAACTGGGGTACTCTGAAAGAGCATCTAGTGCTCTTGGCCACTGTTGTAGTTATTTCTCTATTGCTGTGATGAGGCACCATGTTCAAGGCCACTTTGGGGCTTATATTTTCAGAGGGTTAGAGCCCAATATCATCATAGCCAGATGACATGGCCATGGTAGCAGGCAGACAGGTGTGATGCTGGAGCAGTAACGGAGGGCTCACATCCTGAGACATAGCCACAAGGAAGAAAGAAAGTATCTGGGAATAGCGTGAGTCTTTTGAAACCAAAACCCACCTCTAGTGACACACCTTCTCCAACAAAGCCCTTCTCCCAATCCTTCCCAAACATTTCCACAAACTAGGGACAGAATATTCAAGTATATGAATCTACAGGGGACATTCTTATTCAAACCACCACACTATCTATGAGAACACATTTTATTTAAATTACTTTAAAAGGTAGTCTTAGTTTTGGCAGAACATTCCTTACTGTGAACTTTGTATTTTCAAAGTGACAGTGTGAAATCTGTTTGTCGAGACAGGGTTTCACATAGCTCAGGGTTGGCTTGGAACTCACTAGGTAGGCAAGAGTGTCCTTGAACTTCTGATCCAAGTGTTGGGATTAGAGGTGTCTGCTGTCACACCAGGCTGTAAAGTCATTTTTATTTTAAGAGAAAGTTGCCTGTATTGCTGCAAACTTAGTTACAAGTAATTAAGTAATTGACAACTTACCAAATGCTCTGTGTTAATTGCTTGATATGTATTATCTGGTCTGATTCTCACAGTCTCGGGATGGGCTAGGTGTGTCTATTAAGGAGACAGGAAATTTTCATTGCAGTTCCAGATGCCTATTGCAGTGCACAGTGAGGTCCATGCTTGTTAACTAATGGGTGAAGCCAAGATTCAGGCCCAGAGCTGTGTACGGATGTCCTCCGACTTAGGATGAGATGATGTTTCCATTATGAATTGGAAATATCGTAAGTCACAAAATGCATTTAATACACCCAACTTAGGGAACAGAGAAGCCTGGCTGCAAGTGCAGCTGTTGAGTATTGGTGTGAATTGCTGATGGAGGATGGAGGCAGCTGCCTTGTCTTGATGCTGCAGCTTCAGGTGTGAGCATGGTAGCTCTGTTAGTGCTGTTTTTGGAAGCATCAAAATTCAAAGTTGTACAGTTTCTCTTCAGTCCATTTCACTTTTGTAATCCGTGGAGCTGTGAATCATCTATAGGTGCTGCATCCATGCATGGAAGCACTATGCAACTCTGCTTGGGGCTTAGTGGTGTGAGTCTACTCCCCAGCATTAGAGTGTAAGTGGCAAGGTTAGCATAGAAGGGAGAAAGGCGGCCTAGAAAGCACTGCAAACTGTCTGAGAAGAGGCATTAGCTTTGTGGTGATTGACTGCACTCAGCCATCTGTCTATCTTTTTAAAGGGGGGAAGAAAACCAAAATAAAACAACAAAGCCTGAAACCCCAAGTAGGAAAAAGAACAGTCTTTTTAATTATTTATTTCATTGGATGGTCTGGCAATTCAGTATGTAATTAAAAAGGTGTTTTAAGATGGCCCATTCATTATTCCAACACATTTTATTCACATATAATAGCACTTGTTGCTCTGATGAAGTCTGGAGAATCAGGATGCTCTCGTGCAAGAGGCCTGGGACTGGCTTTGGTCCAGACCTTTTGTTGGTGTTGATTACCTCTGTAGTCCTTTATGCAGAAAAGATGTCAGTGCAGGTGTGCTTAAGGTTTAGCTTGAAGGTGATGAGTCAGCAGCCTGGCAGGGGCACTCTTGGTGATCTTAGGTTGTATTTCAGGAGATTTACAGCACTTGTTTCCCTACACCTGTTCTATAGGATTCCTCTTTGCTGTTGTCATTTTAGTTACCATACTCAAGTATAATGAAAACAAAAACAACATAAGAGATTTTGACCCCCTAGTCTTATACTGATGAAGTATAACCATCATTTATAGTCAATGAGTTGACTCTGGAGTTTTTGTTTTGTTTTTTAAGTTTAAGAAACTCTTATCTGTAGTAATGAATTCTTCTTTGCTGACTCCTTTCGGAAAGGGGCTTACAGCTTCAGTAAGGTGCACTTCTATGCATTTAACTGTTTTTTTTTTTTTTTCCCAATAGCCATTCATTTGAAAGGTTTTTATATGTAACACCTGGAGATACTGTTTGATTGATGATACATTAGGAATGACTAATCCAGTCTGATTTATGTATTTATTATTTATATCTATTGCATTATAAATTGGCTAGTGAAATTCCATAGCTCTGAATGGTTTCTGAGTATGTTTAAGGAAGAGATAAACATAATTTAGCAATAAACCACAAATGGTGGAGGAGACGAATTTGAGAGGAATTAAAGTTTCATATGCTAGCAGGATAGAGTATATTCAGTGTACAGCTTGCTGCTTCTTCTATGGTATGTACTAATGTATATGGATCAGTAAACAGAATATTACTAGCACCCTTGTGCCCCTTCCCATCACCTTCCTGGTGCTAATCCCTTATTAAAAATAACCACACTCCTAATTTCTAACAGGGTTAGATTAATTTTCACCAGCACTTTACTACTTTTTTTTAATAAATTAAATCATACAATATTACTCTGTAGTATTTGGCCCAGGATGTCAATCAAAAAAAAAATCTGCAATACATGTCTTAACCCACTAGAGAAGTTGAAGGATTTTATTTAGGTAGAGAGAAGGCAGTTTATAGTGTAGGGAATGGCAGGTTAGAATACATTGGGTTTCTTACCTATATAGTGTTATAGGGAATATGATTTCTCCCTTAGCCACAGGGAAAAATACATTCTTGGCATGTGGAGAAGTATGATTCATACTAGGGAAATATATTTTGAACTCTGATCCCCTTTGGGCCTTCAACAAACTTTCTCCCCAGCCTATGCATGTTGAAGTATATTCATGTATGTATGGTCAAACATGTTTCATTAGCTCATTGGCATGTTTCTGCCGCCTCTTGGGGAACTATTTCTTGTCTGACTCAGCACATGGTTTTGGTGGGATGCAAGGGAGTAATTGTGGGCATCTGGCTGGCTGGCTGGCTTAATTGGGTTAGGAGGCTTGCTCCGTGACACACAAGGGTTAGGAAACAATTATAGTTCTGTAGAATTTGGAAAATCTGAAAAAGAACCCTTAGTCTCTTTGTTTTGAAACCATCACTTTGCTATTCTCTGGGTATCCTTTGAGGAAGGCTCATGATGTTGCATGAAGCTATCTTTCCTCAGCAACCCTTGTTGGAACTGGGGAATATCTATTTTTTTTCTGCTCTACTTCTAGTCTTCAATTGCAAAACCCATTGCATTTCATTCTTTAGAAAGGAGAATGTCTTTGTCCACTCAGATGCCTAGTTTCCTAAGAAATGCTTTGTCACCACTGGGCTGTATCTATATCTATCTCTGTGCATAGTTTTCAGTTTAGTGGGAGTCAGGAAATACTGTCACTGATTAGTGTATGAAAGCCAAGACTATGGCTTGAAGATGGCTGTGTCTTAGTAAATAAAGCCATGCTTGGCACCTGGTGATCCACAGAGGCTCATTACTCAGTAACTAACTGTAGCAGGCAAGGCATCATTACATTGAGATCTATGTTCTGGATTTCCTTAAATGCTTTTGTTCTGTGCCTTCAGGTTTAGGGATTCTCCCGCCCCCCCCCCCCAAAAAAAAAAAACAGTGACTATGACAGTGGCTATCAGTTAATCATTCAATGTTAGCAAGGCATCTTGTGACTACTTTTATACCACAAAGCATAAGGACCTTGGCCCATTCATTTTGTGTGCCTTTCGTATAGCCTGCTTGGGATTTTTGCCCCATTTGTCTGCTGTTCCTTGTAGTTGAAGATGGTTGTTGCCGTTGAACTGAAAATTTTCCTGCCCATGCCTTTGCTGTTCTCTTGTTGCTGTCTGAAATCATGCTGTAGTGCTTAGAAATGTTAAGAAAACCCTCAAGGTCACCCCTGCCTCAGGATGACGAACTTCAAACATTCTTTGCTTGTGAGAGGCCAAAACTCAGACTGCCTTGGAAATCCATTAGGGATAGTTCCAAATGGCCTGGTAAAATTATGAGCGGTTTCGGGATGAAGAATCTGGTTATATCACTTGGACTGTCTACAGGGGTAACATCTACGGAG